AGCAGGATCTGAGGTGTTGAGAAAAAGAACCAAGAAGCCCAGAGTTTCCCAAACTGGCACTCAAAAATAGGACCCTCAGTATTGAAAGATGTTTTGGGAAACTGTTAAGGTGCGTCCAAATGTAACCTTATTTTTGTAGACATAGCTGATAAATCTCTCTCAGCAGAAGGCCTGAGTGATGGTTTTTGGAAAGCAAATTCTTAAGTACCTTTCTCAGCTGAGCTCTCGCTCCTTTTTCATGTTACTAGAAGAGAAAATCTGATGGTCAGTGGATTTTGCAATCCTAAATGTCTATCGATTTTATCACTTCTGTGGTATTCAGTCATCTAGTTAGGGAATGTATTTTCAGGAAAGAAATGTAGAAAGTTAGAGCTCTATTTTACCGTTGGAAAATAAATGGGCAGAGGTTTTGCAAGGAAAGCAGATGAGACTGAACGAGATCTTTTGGGCTACAGTCAAAGAGAAAAGAGTTAAATACTTACTAGTATTTAAATGACTTTTTTTTTCTCCATTTAAAAAAAACCTGTTGCTTATTAGATATTTGAAAATCAGTTGGGTTGCCTCATTTAATGAATCCCATTTGTACAAGTCATCAACAAGTAAACAAAGAAACTATAACGAAACCAGATCACAATGAATTAAGAAAATAAACTGCAAAGTGAACAGATGCTTTCCAAGATACTGTTATAGATGTCTTTTCTGGCACTGTATTTCATTGTTAATAATTTCCATGCAGTTTATTGAAACAGAGCGTGTTTGGCGCAAGCCCTTTACCATCAAGTACAGGATTAAAAAGGCATCTGGAAAATGTTTAGCTCCTTAACTCTGTATTGGAGTACAGCTTTGGGAAGTAGCCTTTAATGCAATACTGACTTTGCCAGTAAAGCTGCTTGGGGTTTTGTCTCTCAAACAATTCTTAGCTCTCCTTGTCAATCACTGTTATTCCTTTCGAGAGTGCGGTGAGAAACTTTGAATGTTTTTTGACTGAAGCTGACTTTGGTCAGAGCCTTCTTTTGTACATAAAAGTGTGTGCATGGTTGCATAATCACACACTTTTCTTGTAAAAATTTGTGTCTGTGCATTCAGGATGGGCACATGCATATTCTGTGTGTTATACCTTTAGTGAGAATCAGCCATTGAAAATGTTTCCTTGAATGTAGCATTTTTCCTATTCATCTCCATAAGAATAAAGTGCTGAGACTTCAACTGGACAAAATACGCAAAATAGCTCACTTCAGGAGATGTTACTGCTGGTTCCTGGCACAGGGATTAAGTGATCTAAAATGACCTTTTTCCTGTCCCTTTCCCATGGGTGTGAGGGCATGCGAGTCCTTCACTGGGATACAGCTCTAAGGTGAACACTGATACGGGGCAAAGACATATCCAACAAAGTATCCAACAAAACGATGTGATGTTCTCTGAGGCAAGAAAGGTAAAATCATGAAGTAATTATGCGCAAGAGGAAATGAAGATATTTGCCAGATGGATCAATGCAAGGCTCAGAATTATTTGGATGTAAAGTCAGCCAGACTCTATCTTGACATCAGTAGTAAAGGTACTGTAAAACTGCGCTTGCTCGTGGACTGTGCCAGATACCATGTTTACACATGATTCATCTGCAGGGCATCGGATAGAAAACAAAAAATCAAAGCTGTGACATCAGCCACAGGATGAGTTATTATTCACCATATGACAGTAATAAACCAGGAAATTCACTTCAGGTTTCCCTCTTCTCCAATGGTTTTTTCTCAGCCAGTTCCCTAACAACCTGCTCTTCCTTTCCCTAATTCTGCAGGGCAGAATTAAAAGGCATGGGAAAGTTATCTTAGAACTTATTTTCAAATCTGGTAACTTGTGACTTTGTCTCAGTGGTAGGTTATAGGTGCGAGACTGTGATGTCTCCTTGGCTCCGGGCCTCAGGCCTTAGGGAAATGTATTTTCTGCCATGAGAGAAAACATCTGGAAGTGTAATGAGAAATATGAAAATCCCTAATTAGTCAGCCAAGCGGCACAGCCAAGTCTATAAAAAAGACTATGAGTCTACAAGGGATCTTCAGTTGAGGGGACCTGCAGCAGAGCCGTAATATTCTCGGTAGCGACCACTGACATGTGACTCTGTTTTTGTTGCCACAAACAGTGATCTGAAAGACGAGGAATGAGAAACGCAAGCTCAGTTTTTCACTCTGCCACAGATCTCCTGGGTGATTTTGCCAACACGCTTTTGTTGGAATTCGTTTCACCTGATGTGAAGAAGCAAATTTTCTAAGGTTTCTTCTTACTTAAGGGAGCGAGGCAGTACTTCCAAAGGACAATTCATGCCACTGACCTGAGGATGACAAGAGCCTTGCTCTGCAGGTGCTGATCTCCCTCCAGTCTCTACAGCAAAACCAGCTGAACGGGATTCCCTAGGAACCTACAGACAGCCCAAGTCTGGGAGCAATGACAGGAAGGGATAGAAGGCTTCAACAAAAATCCTTAGCACACAGTGTGTTCCCACAGTGGTTGTCGAGACAAACAACAGAAATACATCTGAAGATGGACTAGAGAAACTGAAGGCAGACAGATTCCACCCTGGTAATCAGACATGACAGTTTGGGTTCAACTGGTGGCTCAGAAAGTTCCTGGCCCACTCAGTGGGGAGAAGAGATGGTAAGGAACGCTCAACGTGTACAGGATGTATATACATATCTCATTGTCTTCCTCTTCTTACTCCTGGTCACTGCTACAGACAGAAAAGGGAACTAAATGACTTTTAGTCTGATCCCGTGCAGCAGCTCTTGTCCATCTGTTGTTCGCTTCACCTTTTCCCAGCATCTAATTTGCCCTTGCCCCTTGCATTGGCAGAAGCATTGAGGCAAAGGTATCGGTGAAAGGGAGGTTCATCTCTTCAACATTTTGCACTGTTTTCTCTTGTTACACGACAGCCATTCGCTGGTTGCTGTCTTTGTGGCTGATGCTTCAATACATGCCATTCTGTTATCATGTGCTTCATTTCACTGAGGTCCTTTCACGAGCAAGTGTGCAGAAGCAGCCAAGGTAAGCACTTGTGGTTGCAGGGAGTCTTTGCTGTGCAGAGGACACACGTGAACCCAGATCAGCAGAGACTGAGGCTCTTACTACAGCTCCTGCCTTCTTGGATGCTCCCTGATCGTTCCAAGCTCCGTAACTGGGAACTGTTGAGAAAAGGATGAAGGAAACCCATGGTTGCATGTGCCTCAATCCAGCCAAATCCCAGCACTGTTTCTGATGCCCTGAGTACCTTAGATGGGCTGTACGAAATCACCGAGGACACACGTGAACCCAGATCAGCAGAGACTGAGGCTCTTACTACAGCTCCTGCCTTCTTGGATGCTCCCTGATCGTTCCAAGCTCCGTAACTGGGAACTGTTGAGAAAAGGATGAAGGAAACCCATGGTTGCATGTGCCTCAACCCAGCCAAATTCCCAGCACTGTTTCCGATGCCCTGAGTACCTTAGATGGGCTGTATGAAATCACCATAAAAGCTGGCAGTCAGCATCACTCGTGGCAAGACTTGTGTCTCCCACTGTACGTTGATGACAGCTTTTTCTGTGCAGCTCGGTGAGAAACGTGAAGAAATGCTGCTGTCAGTGAGTATGGCGTGATGGAGCCTAGGACAGAGAGGTGCAAGCTCCCAAGGTGTAGTGCAGCTCCTGCTCTGTCTAAAAGGCCACTTTCAACAACGTTAGAGCTCCTTACCCTTGGGAACAACCTTTGGTGCACGTGGTCTGCCTTTCTGCAGTCTCTTGATCACCACAGTAATGTTCCTTTCAGTTCTGAAACCAGACCTGGATGCTCTTCCCTGAGGGGTAACACGCTCCAGTGCCTCCCGCGGACATGTCCCGAGTCTCCTGGGTTGCACGTAGACTGCCCCTGTGAATTGCAGTGTTTCCTAAAGACATCTTTGGAAGGAGTCAGGCCCTGTCTGTCTCAAGACCTGCTCCAGACTGCCCGATGCTGATGGAAACTCTGTCAGTTGCTCCTGATTCTGTATCAAGTAAATAGGAGTTAGGTCAAATTTGCAACTAATACAGATGCATTCTCAAAACTTCCCGTGAGATCCGGAATTGGTCACTGCTGCTTTGAGGGACGCTAGTTAATGAAAACGCCCTGAAGGCATAATCTCTCTTCGATTCTGTCTGTAATGTGTTTCAGCCTTATCTCAACCTGGCAAGAAATGCACAAACTCTCATTGTCTGGCGTATGTCTTTTGAGATTTTCTCTCGTGCATTACCTATGTCCAGTAAATTATCTATGTCCACACGCCTTTCAAAGTCACCCGCTGTTGTGATGCCTAAGGTTTGAAGTGACAAATGAGAACTCTTCAGTATTAAAATACTTTCTTTTCTAATGTCTCTGAAGTCTTTTTCCTCTCAGTTTCAGAGGAAACAACCTTCTGAAATATGTGCAGGGGTCAGAAAATGTGCGTATTCTGGATTTACATCTAGAAAAGGGAAGCTAGAATTTGTGAGCACTGAAGTCAGCGACTCATTTGCCCAAGCTGAGCCCTGTGCCCCTGTATTCGTCCTGGCGTAAACTCTGCACAAAGTATCCCATGCAGACCGTTATGGAGTTGCACTCCAGAGGACGTAGTGAAGTGTCTGCTGTTTCCCAGGAATAATCCCAAGCACTAGTTGTTCCTACACCATAATCACACCCTTGTCTTGTAAAAGTTTGTTTCTATGCATTCAGGTTCTTCTCTCTTGCTTGTATTGACAGAGAGGTTTGTGCTGCTGGGAATGAACCAGACTAGGGAACTGATGAAGACTGGTGAAAAAAGATTCAAAATAATTTTAAATAAATTTGTTTTCAGCCGCTGTATCGTCATCTTGATTGCTGTTGGATATGCACCTGATTATACCTAAGGGAGGGGAGGAGGAGGTGGGTATACTTGGGGAAGAGTGAGGCCAGCTGATGCCATCTTCACGTGTGTGCAGAACTCATGGCAGGGGCACTCATTACGTGCCACCATGGGATGGGGTAAGCACAGCTGTCTTGGGACTCTGCAGTGGTGGCCTGGGGCTGGAACTTGAGCACAGCCACCAGAGGCAAGAGAGACATGATCAAAATAGACCATGTCCTTCATGAAACATTCATGAAAAGAAGAATAACTTCTATTTTTAAATGAAAGCTGACCCATTTCCGAATCTCCCAAATCCTGAGCTGGTATCCTAACCTTGGGCTGTTCTTCCTTTGTTAACCTGTGGATAGCTGAACTGAGAGAAAGAGAAAATAATTTGTATCATATGCTAGATCAGAATGTTCTGATATTTTAAAATCTCTAGGACATCCATATTATCTTCAAAGGAATTTCAACTGGATCCTAAACAAATGTACTTGAGAAAAATTCCTACAGGAATAGGTTGAATGAATAATAGCAGGGAAGTAATGCAGGTTCTCAAAGGTCTTGACTGCATAGATGCATCATATATACTAGGAGCTTTTTTTTTTAACATGCTGTTTTTCCTTTAATAATATGACTAAACATTCAACATAGGTATCGACAAGTTTTAGTCAATTGGATAGAGATTCAGGTTCAGAGATTCACCTGATTCATGCCGAGGCTTTAAACAGTCTTTTAACTTCCTCCTAAGAATGCCGTATAAAAGAAGTCAATTTAAGAGGTTTGGGTTTAATTGAAAAAGGAGTACTGAGACTAAGGTGCTCTTCAAAAAACATCTAGGATTTCTCTTAGCAAGGATGAGCCACCTGGCTGAATTTGCAGCTCTCCCACCCCTGTGTTTATGCAGAAAACCATTCATCCTCTTCCCCGTCCCTGAAAGAGGGATAATGGAGAGCGTGACACGCAGAGGCAGAAGTACTGTCGATAATTTGCAGATAGACAACAAAAGAAACTGCAGTGTGTCTGATGCTGGTTTTTGTGTTTCTCTTTCCTTGCTCCTCTCATCGTGATGCCATCCAAAAGGGAATTCAGAGCTCTGGTGATTGAGATGGTGTTGGCCACCGATATGTCCTGTCACTTCCAGCAAATCAAAGCCATGAAGAATGCTTTGCAGCAGCCAGAAGGGTGAGTCACTTCACAACGCTGTGCAGTGAGGGGCTGCATTTCAGCTGGTGCTTTGCCATTGTGTTTGACTTCAAAAGCACCTCTCCAGAGATCCTCGCTCTCTTTGATGTCCACATCAATTCTCTTTCTGCTGTTGAATTTTGAATGAATTCACTTAGGAGGGTGCCAGTCCATTCCTAACACACATCTCTATTCTGTGCTGGTGGACCAAAGCTTGTAAAGGTCACCACGTTGGGATAAGGCTCCCTGGACATTTCCCTTTGCATATCAGGGTAACATCAAGGATGTGATCCAGCTGAGTGACCTCTAAAGCTGGAGTATGATTCAAGGTTATAAGAGCTGCAGAACACAACTTAGGCATTGCCCTTCTGCAGATAATATCAGCTGCCACCTCTGCAAGGTGCCTGCTCCATAACCAGAAGACAGATGAAAACAATTTGAGATCCACTGAGGGAAGGTCTGGAAAATAACAGATGGAGCAGAATGGGGAAGACCTTTTCTTCTTCCCAGTATGCCACTGGGAACTGTAATATTTTGTCCACAGCTCTTCCCCATAAAATTCCTTTTATACTGCAGAAAGCTCTGAGTCATGGTCATTTTTTTCACCCTGGACACAGGCCTGTCCAGAGCCTCCCAGAATTATACCTGTATCAGACCAGAGCACGGCTAGCCACTTAGTCCTTTCAAAAGCTACAACTCTTCCAGCTATTTTAGACAGTCAAAAGCTGGAATTAAAAAACAAGACTACCCATCCCAAGAAAGCATTATTTACTGGGTTCTTGGGCTAGTTTATGGTTTTAAGAAATTGCCAGCCTTTTTTGTTTTGTGCAAGGATCCCCTTCTGACCTCACGGTAGTTTTCTAGCGGAGAAACATTTATCGGTTACTGTGCAGACTCACCAGTGCCCCTGAGCTCAGATGCTAACGGTTTACTGCAGTGAGATGGTAAGAACCAGCTTCTCTTCTGAGCTGCATAAAATGCAGCCCAGCTGAAATGGGGAACACAGCAGCTCTTCAAGCCTGCTTGTGCACACAAGCAAGCCTGGAAAGGAGCTCAGCAAGGCTTAGCAAAGTTTATTTTTGCATTTCTTAATGTCTCTTTTACAGCAGGAA